TATTAAGATATATTCAATAACAGTCTTTATAGAGCAACCAATTACAGAGCTTGTTTAGCTGCATCAAAACATACAACAATATATGTTGGGATAGTATTGATCTCATGTCTGAGGATCATACATATAGTCATCACCATGAGCAATGTTATGACTGTCACATAATAATCAAAGAAATATGCTCATGGTCGGTCAATCTAATACATTGTTGTCTAACAATATAATCATGTATCAATTCTAACATCTCTATGTCAATAACAACTCATTGTCATCAATCAATAACATGTTAATCTTAAGTGTATTATTATTGTCCATGCCCATAATAATACTTGACTAGGGATCTTTTAATAATAACAATTATGACATTATATGGACTTTATTATCTTCCAGTTTATGTTAAACAAATATATATAAATGAAAATAATAGCGGCAATGCCTTTATTCAATAAAATCGGTAAATAAAATTATTATTACAATCATCATATGATTGGTCTTTGAGCATACTCTAACAATCTCCCACTAGCACTAAGACCAATCACTCACATATCTAATACCGAGTGACTCAGTGTGACGATCATGCCTCTGCTGTGTAAGAAGCTTTGTCAAGGGATCAGCAATATTGTCATTCGTGTGTACTCTACATATTTCTACATCTCCTCGATCAATGATCTCTCGAATGAGATGAAAGCGCCTAAGAATATGTTTGGATTGTTGATGAGATCTTGGTTCCTTTGCTTGTGTAATGGCTCCATTATTGTCACAACAGAGTTCTACAGCATCTGATATGCTGGGAACAACCCCTAATTCCGATATAAACTTCTTGATCTAAACAGCCTCTTTTACTGCTTCACTGGCTGCAATGTATTCAACCTCTGTTGTAGAATCAGCTACTGTGTCTTGCTTCAAACTTTTCCAGCTCACAGCACCTCCATTAAGACAAAACACAAAACCCGATTACAATCGTCAGTCATCCTTGTCAGTTTGGAAGCTGACATCAGTATAACCTTTTATACTAAGCTCTTCCTCCCCTCCATAGACAAGAAATTTATCCTTAGTTCTTCTTAAGTACTTAAGGATATTTTTAACCGCAACCCAGTGATTTTCACCAGGGTTTGCTTGATACCGACTCGTCATGCTTAGAGCATACGATACATCTGGTCGAGTACATATCATGGCATATATTATAGAACCAATAGCCGAAGCATATGGAATCTTATTCATCCGTTCTCTTTCTAGTAGAGTTGAAGGACACATTTCCTTAGAAAAAGAAATGCCATGTCTCATAGGCAAAAATCCTTTCTTGGATTCTTCCATACTGAACCTTTTCAGTACTTTGTCTATATATGTACTTTGACTCAGACCTAGAAGTCGTATTGATCTATCTCTATAGATATTAACTCCTAAGATATACGCTGCCTCACCCAAATCTTTCATAGAAAAACAACTACTTAACCAAGTCTTAACAGACTGTAAAGTAGGTATATTATTTCCTATGATGAGTATGTCGTCTACATATAAGATTAGGAAAGAAACAAAGCTACCACTAGCCTTCTTATAAACACAAGGCTCATCTTTATTTCTGATAAAATCAAACTCTTTGATTGCATCATTGAAACGAAGATTCCAGCTTCGAGAAGCTTGCTTTAGTCCATAAATAGACCTCTGTAGCTTACAAACCTTTCCAGTATTTCCTAGAAAGACAAAACCTTTTGGTTGTGTCATATACACATCCTCTTCAAGTTTTCCATTAAGGAAGGCGGTTTTGACATCCATTTGCCAGATTTCATAATCATGGAATGCAGCTATTGCGAGCAGGATCCGGATGGACTTAAACATAGCTACAGGGGAGAATGTTTCGTCATAGTCTACACCATGAACTTGTCAAAAACCTTTAGCGACTAATCGCCCCTTTTATGTTTGTACATTACCATCTATATCGGTTTTCTTCTTGAAAACCCATTTACACCCTATAGGTTTGACCCCTTCAAGTGGTTCAACCAAAGTCCATACTTGGTTTACTGACATGGAATCCATCTCAGATCTCATGGCTTCAAGCCATTTCTTAGAGTCTGGGCTAGACACTGCCTCTTGATAAGTCCTGAAAGAGTTTAATATGCAAAAAGTTCTATGTACAAATGTAATGGAGGTGCCTATTTATAGTGTTGATAGGCACCATATTAACAGTTTTTACAATTAAAGAAAACAATCACCAAAATGCAATTGAATTCAATTAAATGACTTGTCATTCTTCTTATCCTTTGATGGTTGGCCATGTAGATTGAAAATGGATGAATTAATCTTTAATTTGAGATAATTTCAGCCTTAAATTCGTCCAAAAAGGAGGATGACTCTTGTGCTGCCTTGCTTTGCTTGCAAATGAAAGAAAAGAGGATAAATGAAGTCATAGGATGAATATGGACATCCTACATGTCCAAATCACCTTGTCTCTTCAAATTCCTTGCTGATTTTATCACTTAATTTGATGATTAAATGAAATAAAATCAGTCTTCATTGCTTGTTCCTTGGTAGCATGTGAATAGCCTTCAAAGAATGATAAGTAAGACTTGAATAGGTGAATTATGAAGGATTGAATGCATTGTCTCTCCAAGAATATGAACAGCCCTGAAAAGATGAAAATAATTCATCCTTGAATTGCTTTGAACAGAAGCATTAAGATAGTCTTCAATTTCTTGTCTGTTGGTAGAAGATGAAAGGACCCTTCCTTGGCACAAACTCATCCAAATAATCCATGCATGAAATTCCCGTAATGAAAATTCCAGTCTGCACTATCTTCAGTAAATCGATCATATCTCAAGCTCCCGATATTGGATTGAGGTGATTCAAAAGGCATTGGAAAGCTAAGAGATAGAGGAATAATTTCCAATTGATTGTTGGACCCAAATACGTATGTATCGAATCCAGAATTGGAAGACATTCTGACTGATAATCTTGCATCTGTTGAGACTGTTCAGCTTCCCTATTGCACCTAAACATAAAGATAAACTTTATTCAATCATAACATGTAAATATGCATGGGATATTTAAGAGTTAGTTTGATTATGAAATAACATTATTCAATGAACTAACTTTATTCAATGAACTAAATGCATGAATGAATTAGTTTATTAAATAACTATATGCATAAATGAACTACTTCCCTAAATGAAATACATGCTTAAATGCAATGCATGCTTTAATGAACAACATACTTATTAAATGCAATGAATGTCATGAAACTATTAAAACTCATGCAAATTCATGCAATGAATGATATCATATGATAAGCATATCCTAAGAGGTAAATACAAACATATGATAAAATATAGTGCATAAATGAGCAGGTATAGGATGAAGTAAGGTAGAACTCCCTTTGAATCATCCTTGGTGAACTTCAATGGTTTAATCAGATCAAGACAAAAGTTAGGGCTGATTGGGATCTCATCAGCAGCTATGGAGATCGGATATAGCTACTGATGAAGCTGCATATTGTGTTATTAATGATACCGGAAACTTGGTCGTTTGAAGTCGTAATTCAAACGTTTTATGGCAGAGCTTCGACCACCCGAAGGATACCTTGCTGCCGACTCAGGTACTGGAAATCAACAGGAAACTGTTTTCTCGATGGAATGAGAACTTTTCACAAGGAAGATTCCAGCTGAGTTTACAGACCGATGGAAATCTTGTACTCAGCATGGTAAATTTGCCTACTAAATATGTCTACGAAGGTCCCTTTTACACTGGTGATTCTAATGATGCTGCAAAAGAATCCAACTCCAGTTATCGATTGATTTTCGGTGAATCAGGCCAAGTGTATGTGTTGAGAAGGAACAGCTGGAGATACTTTATCAGAACCGGGCCTCAGGCTACACTTCTAACTCCAACAGCTGATTTCTATCAGAGGATGACACTCGATTTCGACAGTGTTTTCGCATAATATTATTATCCGAAGCGAAGCACCGGCGTAGAAAACTGGACTACTGTTTGGTCCAAACCTGATAATATATGTAATCGTGTGGGGGATCTGGGCAGCGGCGCTTGTGAATTCAACAGCATCTGCAGTCTAAATGAGAATCGTAGACCAACTTGTAGATGTCCACAGGGACTCTCTTTACTTGATCCGGATGATAAGTATGGAAGCTGCAAACCAGACGTTGAATTAGACTGCCGAGAAGATGGACGAGGTCCCATGGAAGATCTGTACGGCATCACCGTGACATTAAACACCGATTGCCCTGGCTCAATAAATGACCATGAAAAGCTCCATCCTTACGACGAGCAGAATTGCGAAACAGCGTGTTTGCGTGACTGCATGTGTACTGTTGCCATTTGGAACGACGACAACTGCTGGAAAAAGAAACTGCAGTTCACAAACGGAAGGGATGACGATCGCTTTACAGTCAAGGCATTAATCAAAATTGCCAAAGGTGACCGTACTCCCTCATCCCTTAATCTTTCAAATGCTGATGAAGATGAAGAAAAGAACAAAGGCACTTTGATCACCGTATCAACACTCTTGGGTACCTCTATGTTTGTAAACTTTGCCTTGGTTGGAGCATTTTGCCTTGGGTTTTCTCCATTTACAAGAAAAAACTGTCCAAAGTTCAGCAAGTTGGATTGGAGACGACGAATTTGCAGGTTTTCACCTACAAACGGCTTGCAGAAGCCACAAATGGTTTCAACGAAGAGCTTGGAGGAGGAGCCTTTGGCACTGTTTACAAAGGAAAATTAGAGATACGAACTGTAGCAGTGAAGAAATTAGAGAGAGTGGTTCGAGATGGAAATTGGGACAAAGAATTCAAAACCGAGATCAATGTCATCGGACAGACACATCATAAAAACTTGGTCCAGTTACTAGGATTTTGCCAGACAAAGAATTACTGGTGTACGAGTACTTAAGCAATGGCAATTTAGCCGATTATTCTTTTAAAAACACGAAGCCTAGTTGGAAAAAGGACCCAAATAGCCAAATCAATTGCCAGTGGGCTCCTTTACCTACGTGAAGAATGCAGCACACAGATCATCGACTGCGACATAAAGCCTCAAAACATTCTCCTCGACAACAACTACGATGCTCGGATTTCCGACTTTGGGTTGTCGAAGCTCTCGATGATGGATCAAACATAGACGAAAACAAACACATCAGAGGGATGAAAGGGTATGTTGCACCTCAATGGTTCAGGAACATGCCGGTAACAGTCAAGGTCGACGTCTATAGCTTCGGTGTCTCACTACTAGAGATCATTTGTTGTCGGAGAAGTGTTGGCGACAAGGAGAATGCAGCAGATACTGATGGAGATAGCAGAATGTTGACTTATTGGGCTTATGACTTCTTCAATATTGAAGGAGCAATAGAGGCATTGATTGGGGACGACATGGAGGCCATTAATGATAGAATGAGCTTGGAGAGGTTCTTGATGACTGCCTTATGGTGCATTCAAGAGGACCCTTACCTGAGACCTACCACGAGGAAGGTTACGCATATGCTTGGAGGAGTTGTCCAAGTAACTATTCCTCCTGATCCATCTCCATTTACCACTACTGCTTAAAGCTCCTTCTTCAGTATCTATTTTATTTAGTTCTCTTTAACCCATCAAGTGGCTTTTAGAAATTTCGAATTCAAGTAGTTGTATTAATAAAGTGTGTGTTGTCAAATAATTACAAAAAATGTTTAAACATATATTATCTTATAATTAGCCCAGACTATTAAAAAATAGTATTTAGCTCTCTTTACATTTCTTATAAACAATTTAAATACACATAGATAAAAGTTGAGGTTATCAAAATGTTATCAAAGTTTATAAGGTATGTATTCAATTATCAAAATTTATAAAATATGTACTTAAAATGATATTCTCGAAAGATCTTTAGTTCAAGTTATTGTGTCAAGGTGTATATTTCCAATTACTACAAAAATCTTTAGTAGAGATTGCTTTATAATTATTTCATATTATTTAAAAATATTAATTAACAATTAATGTATCAAAAATATCTATAATATATTTTTCATAACATTTTAAATACTTTACCTTTTATTTTTACCTTAAATTAAGTTTTTTTACCTTAGAAATACCTCCCTCATTTATAGGTGAAATCCAAGATCAATTATGCAAGGAAAAAAATAAACAATAGTAGTTAGAGTAGAAATGAGATGTAAAGACACTAAACAAGCTTTTTCACGGGGAATATTAAGTTAATTGCCATGTAGATCACCAACTCATGATTCTATTTTAAATTAGTCCTTAAACTTTAATTTTTTTATATTAAATTCTTAAATTATGACCTTATTCGAAGTTGGGACTTTAAAATAATCTATATCAATCTTGTAATTATTTGTATCATTCCACTTTGTTTCTTTCGTTAACGTTTTGTTAACTCTATTGATTTTTGAATACCTTGAGGATTGAATCTATGACATTCTAAAAAATTATTCTAAAAAATTAATATATTTTGAAGGTCTTGAGAATTTTTCAAGAGGTCACGGGTTCAATTCTCATGACCTTCGAAAAGATATTTCATAAGTAACATTAACGGCATGTTAATGGAATGATAAAAATAAAATGATATTAATAGTTTAAAGATTTATATAGAATATTTTAAAATTTAAAGATCAATTTAGAATAAAATCATAATTTAGAAATTGTTCTATAATATTCTAAAATTTATTAATCGATTTAAAATAAGATCATATTTTAGGAATATCCTAATTAATTATCTTCCGGTTTTACTAAATGATGTGTTTATTGTATATGAAAACACCAAGGCAATTTTTTTTTTGTCCTCTAGGTTTCAAGGTTTTGCCTCGATTAATCCAGACTGACCAGCGTTGTAAACCTGGTTTTGGTTGGTGAGTCTCCTAGTAGGGATTTTCTGCATACATAAAGACTCGAACTCGAGACCTTACTTAAGCAATATCAACATGTTTACAACTGGAAGTTTCGAGTTCGATCACGTCGTTTGTAGGGGTATTTAAATATTTATTGTCAAATGATTTAAAATATTTCGAACATATATTACTCCGTAATTATACCAAACTAAAAAAACGAACACATAATTGTAAGTATTTGTATGAACTTTACAGCATAAAAATTTATGATGAATGAGTCTAACTCTATGAATTAGGTACCTCAACATCTACTAAAATCAAAATCTTCTATTTTAATGGAGTAAGTCAAAGATGGTGTGAACCATTTCTATTTAACATTTATACCATTTGACATATCCTACTTTCGCGTTTTCCAATTAAAGGAAAAATTGGACTTTCTTGGTCAATTATTCAACGGAGTGGTCCAAAGATTTCCACAATTGTCGAAACCCATTTTTGGCAGGACCCGATTCCACGTTTAAGAGGTGCATGTATGAGCACATATGTATATAAAAAAACATGGCGTGTTTCACGTTATGGAAAGCCAAACTATATTGGGCATAACAAGCTTAATATATGCTAACGAATATTGTAATGTAACACAATTACTGATTGAACGTAATGCCATATAAATAAATAGCGTATTCACAAAAATATATGAACATAGATAACTATATACGGTAATAATATTTACAAAATACATATGTAATATCTTATATTGTATAACAAAAATTAGTGAATAATATAAAAAGTAAAATAAAGCAAACTAAAATATGGTAAGAAATTAAAACGTGTATGAAAAATTTAATTATATAAAATGTAATATGCACATAAGGTAATATAAGGTATAATATTAATACAAGAAAGTCAAAAATATGAATGTTATTTAAAAAGAGAAAATACTTATATTAGAAATAAAAGATATATTCATAAAGTTATTAGTATGCATATAAGTAAACAAATAAATGTAAAGAAGTAAAAGTTTAGTATCAACATAACAGGGGTCAATATAAAACCAAAATAAAAATTAATAGGCAGTAATAATAAAATTAGAATTTAAAATAAGGAATAAAATTAGAAAAAAATAAATAAGTACGAAGGATGAAGATGCAAAATAAAGATAACAAACTTAGAGGACATGTAAAATAAATTATGAAAAGTAAAAGCATAAATTAAAGGGCTGAAACATAAAATGCGTAAAAAAAAAGCCAAAAAATAAGGGAAATAAAAGTTTTGAAATATAAAACAAGAAAAATAAAGTGCTAAATATAAATAAAGAAAAATAAAGATGCTAAAAATAGAAAGGTAAAAAAAAGTACTGAAATTAGTGGGTTATAATAGAGAGACATAGACATTAGAGGGATTAAATCCAGGATTACCCCATGGTTCACAATAACCTAGGTATTTAAACTAAAGTTTTTTCCTTTTCAGTTATTTTAACGTAGCCTAAAAAAACATTCCCCATGGAAAACACTCTTAACTTCTCTCTCTCGCTGGTAGTCCCTAGAAAATTCCAAACTCACCATGCAGTTTTCATTCGTCGGTACCGATTCAACACTCCGACCGCGACAGACGACAGCCGAAAATAGTAGATCCTAACTAAAACATCCTAAAGGCTCTGATTTTTTCTCTAGACTCTAGATCCAAGACTAGAACCACCAAACAAAGCTCCAAAAACCCCCCAAACTACACTCAACCGTTCACATTCCCCAACTCTGATGAAGCCCTTTTACTTCCGACGACGAAGCCTTGTTCGACATTGAAAGCAGCTGAAGAGACTCCGGCGTGGAAATCCACATTTCAGGTAAACAAAACCCTGACCCCTTTATTCATATTTTGCTTCGAAAAATACACTGGAAAATACAAAGAGAATGTGAAAAATACCTTAAAAAAAGCTCTAGTGTTATTGTTTTATTTTCGAATTATCCTAGACCTTTTTTACAATTATTTCAGAGGCATCAAACACCTGAAATCCACATTTCAGGTAAACAAAACCCTAACCCCTTTATTGTTTCGTTTTATTTATTTATTCGTACACGGTGGTTGGCGAGGCTTGTACGGACGAACCGGCCACGCATGGGTCTCCTTGTCTGGTGGTAAGTGAGGCATCAAAGGCCCCAGATTTAGCGATATCTTATTTCGGCTCAGCTTGAAGTCAATGTGTAAGACCCCAAATTCTGTACTAATAGTTTTGAGTTTATCCAAGAGATTTGTGGACTCCTTGAATTTTATAATTCAAGTTTTTAGGTTTGATTGGGTTGAACTTGGGGCCAATTAACCATAAATAGGTGATTTTTTTCATAGTAAAAAGATGAAAAGTGACCAGTGTAATTAGCCAATTTTTAAAAGATGAAGAGTATTATCTCTTTATCTTCTTATCCTCTTCATTTTTTCTCTCTCTCTCTCTTTTTCCCTCTTCTTTCTCTCCAAACTCCATAGCTAAAGTAAGATTTTTTTAGCTTTTTTCATATTTTCAATCCGTTTTTAATCCCTCCAGCAACATCATTTAAGGATTTAAAGCTTTAGGTTTTTATTTTTGCAAAAAGGAAAGAGGGGTTTTATCATCCAATCCTAGAGGAGAGTGATTGCTAATTAAAGAAGACTATGATGTAGAACTTTCAGCCACACTATGATGTTAACCACAGTTTGTGTGTTGCATAATAGTATTAACATTAGCCGTATATCTGCTCATATGAACAACATGCCACCACCTCCTAGAGTTTACATGCTAAACAAATCTAAGACAACAGAAACACCTCGGCGCACACAAACAAAAGGATGAACAGCATCTGACCATGTTGAACAAATACGACATTTGATTTCATATATACCCCTTAACTTTGCTAGGGATATACGACATCAGACTTCATACTTCGTCAAGAATTTGACACTGATGTTCTTCAGAAGGGATAAATGGCAGGCAATACTTAAGTTAAAATCATCAGTTTCTGTTACCTAAACTTTCCGTAGTGAGCGTATTAAGATGTATTCAATGGTAATTTCTAGCCCAATTAGATGGATGACATAACGTGGCTATAAGAAATATATGCTTAAAAGGATATCCTTTACCTTTATCTGTGCACATATTATTAATCATTATAAGACTTGTTTGAGTTATAGAGATGCCCGTTTTTGAGATTTTGGTGGCTCTTGGGTGAACCAAAAAATTAGGCCCCTATAAAGGATTTAAATTACAATTTTTATTTTTGTTCTCTACCACTTTGTGTTTATCACTATTGTGGGCATAACAAATGATATTACAGTATTGTTGTGATTACAAGCAATTACATAAGTAATTATTTCTAATAACAAGTGTTGAAAAAAATAAATTTTAATGGTAGTTCCATAATAACAAATATTGAAAAAATTAGGTCTGTAATAACAAATATTAAAAGAAAAAGTAAATTTTAGGAGTATGATCGTAATAAAAAAATATTGGAAAAAATTAGACATTTATAAAAAATACTGAAAAATGTGGACTCATAAAAACAAATAAATATTAGAAAAGAAATTAAAATTTAAAACTACGCTCTTAATAACAAATATTAAAAAATTTGGTTCCTTGATAATAAGTATTAAAAGTTGGGTCTTTAGTAACAAATGTTAGAAAAATATTAATAAAAAATTAGACACTTATACAAATATTAAAAAAAAAGTTATAAAAATAGAGCCCTAATAATAAAT